AAAGCTTACCAGATCATCGCTTCAACCAATCAGTCTGATCTATTTCTGGCAACACTTGGATAGGGTTGCGAGACTGCACCATGGGTGGGTTCAATCCCGAGCACAATTTGACTCAACCCAAGCTTTTACATGGGTTGGCCCCTAATTTTTTATTTTCATGTTGGGCCTAAGGCCCGATCAAAACTTAGATTAAGCTTGGATTGAGGTCTTAGGTAGCTTAAGCCTCCCTGAACAAATACATACATATATGCATTTAATTATAGAAATATTATATGTATAAAATATGTATATACAGATTTTTAATCCATTCTACTTCTAAATTAGCTATGAAGTGCAATAAAAGATAACTGTACGAAAAATATAACCATAAATTCTTTCAAATCCAATCAACTCAACCAACCTGAACCCAAACCTAATCCTAATTATATTGGGTTAAGCTCAAATTGGGCCTGAGTTAGTAAACTCAGTCTTAACCTCAAGTTCGATTATGCCAGAACCCAACCCGGATTGACCCTCGACCCCCAACCCGCCCAAGTTGGGGCCCTGCACTTGGGTATGAGTATGACCTCGATTAACGAATGGGTTAAGCCTTTTTAGTTATTCTTTGTTTTCCACATACTTTGTCTTTTCTCTGATTAAACAAAAGCTTGTTCAGCGTGGCCTTTCCTTTGCGCCATTAGCCACATATCTGACTTATTCAGTCAAGGATTTGTCATGGAATAAAGTGGTGGGAAGAAATATACAATGTCATGAAATCTGCTTTTATATTAAATGGGCTCGATGAAAGGAAAGTTCTAGAGCTGCAAGGAGGCTTCCCATCCATCTAGAAGACATTATTTCCAACTTAAATCTATGGAAAGTAGCCACTCATTTTTGGAGAATGGAAGTTCAACCACTTGTACTGTATTGTTAATGTCCACGTATCACTTGGGAAATGGGTTTTGTAATAACTTGTATATATACTCCATCCTCTTCTTTTTCCATCTCTTCAAGTCTTCAAGTCAATATAACTATTTTTTAATACTTTTAATATGATAAAGTCAAGGATTTGATGTTTAGGTGGCAAATCGTATCTCTGCATTCAAATTATATATTTTTATATACAGATTTAAGTGGAAAATGTAATCAATCCCAAGAGTCAATTAGTATTTGTTTCTCACAAAGTGCTCTTCACACCGATCTCACAACTACATCCCACTGTGACACCTTGTGGAAGTTTCTCATATAGTCCCTAGCCTGTTGGTTAGAAAACAAATTTAGGGTTCATATAGCCTCTTGGGCTATTGGTCCAGCCTTGGTCATGTGCCCAAATATCCTTCTTACCTAATGGTCTAAGCTCAGATCCTAATCTTAAGTTCATAAGTTACCTTTTTTAAGGAGAGTAGTAGTAGTAGGACCATTCAATTGTGGGTTCTACTTCTAGCCCTTTACTTCAAAAAGATGGCTAGTTATTGGGCACAGGTCTATTGGGGCCCGACTCAAAATATTATAAAAGAACAAGGCCCAAGGTGAAGCTCAGAATGGGGAAGAATTTTCAGCACTAAGATTGTGTCAGATGAGACGTAGGAGAACACGAGGTGGTGGATTAATGGTACTTGGCAGATTCCATTCTGGCGAAGGAAAGTTTCACTTGATCACATCTTGTGGGGAACCCTCTTTAAATTAATAATTAAAACTAGTTGGGACCTGTGCGATCAATTTAGGGATAATAGCATATAAGGGCAATTTTTGGGCCCTAATATCAATAAAATTAATATATTTAAAAAAAATTAAAATTAGGTTAATTTTTTAAAAATAATATTAATTAAGGGTAAAATCAATGTTCATCTTCTTTTTCTTGCAATCTGTTCAACAGTGTCGTCACCGGCCGCCACTGCCCCGGCAATGCCTCCGGCTATCTCCGCCCGCCTCCGCCTGGGTGGAGGTAGCGGCGACGGCACTGGTGGTCATTCCTCTGCCCAATGCCACCACCTCCGCCTCCGACAACATTGTCGAAGGTGGGCGGAGACAGAGGTAGCAGCAGGTGGCGGAAGTGGTGGCATTGGGCAGAGGAATGACCACCAATGCCGCCACCGCCGCCTCTGCCTCCACCCACCTCTGACAACATTGCCAAAGGCGGAGGTGGAGGTGGGCGGAGATAGCCAGAGGCGTTGTCGGAGCGATGGTGGCAGCAAGCAATGGCGGCCAGCGGCTGGCAGCGGCGTTGTTAAACAGATTGCAAAAAGAAGAAGATGAACAGTGTACCCTTAATTGATATTATTTTTAAAAAATTAACATAATTTTAGATTTTTTTTAAATATATTACTTTTATTGATATTAGAGTCCAAAAGTTGCCCTTATATGCTAATATCCCATTAATTTACCTCTTTTCCTGAGTTTTATCTTATTCCTTTTGTAATTTTTTTTCCAAGTCCCGACAAAAATGCAACATCAGAAATTACTGTAAAACATTAAATAGACTTGGCAATACATCTAATCTTTGGGATGTGTATTTCATTGTTTATAGTTACATGAATGAGGAAGTTCCTCTTCTGTCGAGACAATAAAGTTTTATCTGCCATCCGATCGATCACAGAAAACAAGTTTATATGTCAAACAACTACAAATTGCATGCTTACCATCATATCATGTTCAGGTTTAGAAAAACCCCATTGAAGCGTTGTTGAGTACTTGTATCATTATGGACTACAACTCGGCCACAGCCTCAGCCTCGTCCACTCTATCTTCCCCAAAATAATATGTCAACACTTTTCATTGACGGTTCTTTTGATCTAGATATAGGTCATGCAGGACGAGGGTTCGTTATCCAACATTCCATAAGCAACTTACCATTGCAAAAGGCACTCCTTGTTGGGCCCTCAACAGCTACGATGCTGAAATTCGAGCCCTCTTAAAAGGATTAAAGGAAGCTAGAGCAAATGACATTACTGATCTTTTCGTATTTTCTGATAACACAGCTTTGGTAGATTTTGCAACAGATGATAGAGCATCCCAATGGACTGAGGAGTTGCATAGAAATCATCTTAAAAGACTAATCTCTTCTTTTGTATCTATATATTTTGTGCATATTTACAGACAAGACAATCGTATGGCCCATCTTTTTGCTTATGTCTCATGTAAGGGTCAGATAAAATTACACTACAACTCTTGCCATGTAACTGTCTTGTTATGAATGGAAGGTTTCTTTTAAAAAAGAAAAAAAAAAATCCAAGGGCCAAACAAAAACGACTACTAAAATTCAAGGAAATTTTCTCAATTAGTACCTTGTAATTTGGGTCTAGTGTCATTTTGGTCCCCGAACTTTAAAATGCGACAATTTAATACCCAAACTTTTAAAACGTGTCAATCTAGTATCTACCATTAACTAGTAGTTAACCAGCCGCTAAGTAGCATTTGAAAAAACACAAATGCCCTTCGAGTGTTATCTAATTTTCTTTATAAATCATCTAAATGTTGACAAAAAATTAACAATCCCAAATCCGTGCCTCTTCTATTCAAGAAAGTTAGGGTCACTAGAATACCCACTAAGACTAGGAATGGTAACAGGGTAGATTTGAGGCGAGGCACCCCCTCCCCATCCCTACCCCGTAGTCAAGATACTTTGCCCCGTCCCCAGTGGTGGGGTAAGTTCAGGGCAGGGCATCCTCTCCCTATCAAAGACAGGGAATCCCCAAATTTTTCTTGCTCCAAGGCAACTACTTAAAAATTATCTATTTTGTGGATAATTTACACATAGAATATAGGAATTGGGGGGTATTTTAGGAATTGAATTATAATACTTTGGGGATACTTCAAAAATGGAATTATAAGATTCTAGGATTTTCAGAATTTAGGAATAATTTAGAGATATTTTATTAATTTACCTTCGGGGTTAGGGAATTATATACAAAATCCGTCCCCGCCCTGTCCCTGTTTAGGGTCAAGGAAAACCCACCCCATTCGGGATAGGGCAAGGCCCCAGTTTTACGGAGAAATTGCCATCCCTAAGTGAGACATAACCCCAACTTTCTTGCATAGAAGAGGTAAGGATTTGGAATTGTTAATTTTTTGTCAACGTTTGGATGGTTTATAAAAAAAAATTAGGTGACACTCAAAGGGCATTTGCATCTTTTCCAAATACCACTTAACGGCTGGTTAATAACTAGTTAACGGTAGGTACTGGATTGACACGTTTTGAAAGTCCGATTACTGAATTGCCACATTTTAAAACTTGAGGACCAAAATGACACTAGACCCAAAGTACAAAATAATTGAGAATTTTTTCAAAAATCAATTACATCACTCAATCAAATACTTCAAAATTAAACTAGCCACACATCAATGAACAAAACCCCCCATAAAAAACTGCATCTTGTTTTAGCAAAATCCCAACCCCCCTAATTTTATTTTACAATTGTTATTGAGAGAGAGAGAAAGAAGGCATGTGTAGTCCTAATCAGAACATTGTAAGCACTCATTCAATGAGCATTTAGAAAAAATTTTGACACCTGTTTCTTAAAATACCCCTAATTTTCCCTTGAAAAAGATTATAAACAACTTTTAACACTTGTCAGAATATTTATCGAAGAGCTCATTGAACGTAGTTACTATATGTTGTGCTTATTAGTAGTTTACCAATTACCGCTTTACCTTTGTTGGGTGTCAACGGCTTTTAAATGAATTCATTATTTGGAAAACCAAACATCAGAATAAAATTCCAAAAAACCTTTCACATCTTTCAACAAAAAATGTTATGTTCTTCAAGATGTTCGGTTTCTCAAAGCGCCAAACGGTTAAAGGTATTATAGCATGCAGGGTATTAACAGTGGTTGGTGATAAGAAGCTCAGTAGAATTAGGTAGAATTTAATCCTACTTAAAAATCAGAAAAAGGAGAAAAAAAGAATGATGCCAGATCACACCATTCCGTTGCAAGTGATTAATGGTCCAAGTCTTCAATTTATCTTGTACATGCAAGTAACGAGAAAAAAAATGTTTTCATCATCCTTTCTCTTGCAATTTTGTCAAATCTCATGCGGTCAATCTTTTGAAAATTGTTACCTTAGTCATGAGGTCTCCTCTGCTTTAAATTGTCTGTTCCTCTGGGAAAAAGAGCAGAGAAGATCAAATCAACAAGAAAAATGCCCATTTGTGATTTGTGTTATGTTAGCTTCAGTTTGAGAGTACAATTCTCTTCGTTCTGTAGATGAAAGATTTCAGTTCTGGGTCTTGGTGCGTCGTTGTTCAGTAGAAGAAACAGAGATACCCGGTTTGCTTTTTTCTGGGTTTCTCGGACTTTTTATGTAAGGAAGGCAAGAGGACGACTGCTCTGGATTTTCGCTGCTTGTTTCAGCTTTGGTGAATACAAATGGACAACAGTGATATCTATAGAGTTGCGAGTCTACGTCGAAGTCGAAATGGTTCATGGAGGAATGCAACTGAGGATGTCTTCTCAAGGTCGTCCTACGATGAAGACGATGAAGAAGCACTGAAGTGGGCTGCCATTGAGAAACTGCCAACTTATGATCGCATAAGAAAAGGAATACTGACAGGACTCGATGGAGAGCACAAGGAAATTGATATTAAGAATCTCGGGCTTCAAGACAGAAGGAACCTGATAGAGAGACTGATCAGAGTGGCAGAGGAGGACAACGAGAAGTTCTTACTCAAGCTCAAGGACCGAATGGAGCGGTACGCTTCTGACTGGTTTTTGCTTTACTTATTTCTACTAGAGATATTGAATTCTTGGATCATGGATGTTTGATTTCTTTATGTTCTTCATGCTTTTGTTGATGGACTACTGATGGGTTTCTTCTTCCCTTCCTTCTGCTAGAGTTGGAATTGAAAACCCAACAATAGAAGTCCGGTTTGAGCAACTAAACATTGGTGCAGAAGCCTACATCGGTAGCAGAGCTTTACCTACAATCCTGAACTTCTCCATGAACATGCTGGAGGTAACATGCAAAAGAACAACTAATTAAAAATGAAACAATTGATCATTTATGCATCTTCAGTTGAATCACAACAAATACTTCTACTGATCTTTTTTTTTTCCTGTTTGCAAAGACGTTCTTGAACTCTGTCCGCATTTTCCCAAGTAGAAAGAGACCAATATCAATTCTTCATGATCTTAGTGGAATAATCAAACCTGGAAGGTAATGATTCAAATCCTGTAACCAAGTTCAGGTTCAAATCCATTTGTTCTCCCGTCAGTAGTATACAACTCTATATGTCTAATTCATCTGTCAATTTTGCAGAATGACTCTGCTTTTAGGCCCGCCGGGCTCCGGAAAGACCACTTTACTTCTAGCTTTGTCAGGAAAGCTTGACTCGGAACTGAAGGTGGAGAAATGGAACTTCCTAAGTGTTTCTTAAGATTCCTGCGACCTTCAAGAATTACTTAATGTAGTTTTGACAGTTTGAGTTTGATTTATGTAAAACTCCAGGTATCTGGAAAGATAACATTTAATGATCATGGCTTGGATGAATTTGTCCCACAGAGGACTGCTGCTTATATTAGTCAGTATGATCTCCACATTGGGGAAATGACTGTGAGAGAAACCTTGGCTTTCTCTGCTAGATGCCAAGGTGTTGGTACCCGCTATGGTAAGTTGAGAAACTATTATCAGCTGAGAGAATTAGCAAAAATTTAAGGAGCTTGAAACACTACTCTTTGTTTTGTGGGAAAATTCTGCAGATATGTTGACAGAACTTTCAAGAAGAGAGAAGGCGGCAAATATTAAGCCAGACCCAGATATTGATGTATACATGAAGGTAAAAATCATGATTTTACTCTTTCTATACAGATGATGATGATGATTAATAAATTATTTTTATTTTTTTAAGTAAACTTATCCCACCAAGTGTACAATAGGAACAAAACTTGTCTCATTTCTCATTTGATTTTGTCTTGATCCTTCTGTAGAATCTAATTAAATTCTGATATGGATCACTTTGAAGTTTGTGAATATTATTTTCAGTTCTTGGAGTTTGAGCTTGTTCTGTTTCCCTTAATTTCATCTTCCCTTGTTTGGACAGGCATCATCTCTAGAAGGACAGAAGGAAAATGTTATTACAGACTACATTCTAAAGGTATTTTGTGATGACAATAATCTATTTGTGCAATATCAATGTTATTTGGTTTTCTCATTCTGGAGACATTGATTAATTTAATGATTTCTCTCTCGTATTCCCTGAAAATTTGTAGATTTTGGGACTGGAAATTTGTGCTGATACCATGGTGGGGAATGAAATGATAAGGGGTATCTCAGGTGGACAAAGGAAGCGTGTCACCACTGGTAGAACAAATTAAAACTTCTTGGCCTGTTATTATTCATATGCTTTGACTTGAGTAGATCTAACTGTGGACTAAATCTTCATGGCTATGGTTGATATATATAGGTGAGATGCTCGTAGGACCCGCTAAAGCATTGTTTATGGATGAGATATCAACGGGCCTGGATAGCTCAACAACTTTTCAGATTGTGAATTCCCTCAAGCAGTCAACTCACATCCTTGGCGGGACTACACTAATTGCTCTCCTTCAGCCAGCACCAGAAACTTATGATCTCTTTGATGACATTATTCTCCTCTCAGAAGGGCAGATCGTGTACCAGGGTCCTCGCGAAAATGTGCTCGAGTTCTTTGAATCAATGGGTTTCAAATGCCCTGAGAGGAAAGGAGTTGCAGATTTCTTGCAGGAAGTAAGTTTCATTAACCGATCCATCTAGCTTATTGATTTTCTCAAGTAGTGTTGAAACTTGGTACAGTTCACTTTGTTTAAAATAGATAAAGTAGTGTGATCTTTTTTGTCCATATTTAGGTAACATCGAGAAAAGATCAGCAACAATACTGGACCAACAAGGATGTGCCATACTTCTATGTCTCTGTCAAGGAGTTTGCAGATGCATTCCAGTCTTTCCATGTGGGACGGAAATTGGGAGATGAGCTCAGTGTTTCCTTTGACAGGAGGAAGAGCCACCCTGCTGCTTTAACAACTTCGAAATATGGTATTAGCAAGAAAGAATTGCTGAAGGCTTGCTTCTCAAGAGAATGGCTGCTAATGAAAAGGAACTCATTTGTTTACATTTTCAAAATGATGCAAGTGAGTAGTATAATTCAAGTGGGATGATTTTATTTACTTGATTCAGTTATTGAATAATTTGTTGCCCCTCCAGTCAAACTTGTATTCAACTTAACACATTTTTGGGCACCGAATCCTGACATAACTTATTCCATGTTCATCCTGATTCACAGCTTATTGTTGTTGGGCTTATTGCGATGACTGTCCTCCTGCGAACCAAGATGAAACACGGCACCATAGATGATGGGAACGTTTACATGGGTGCTTTGTTCTTCGCACTTGTTACTCTTATGTTCAATGGTTTCGCTGAAATCTCAATGACTGTGGCAAAGCTTCCTGTCTTCTACAAGCAAAGAGACCTTCGTTTCTATCCTTCTTGGGCATATGCACTGCCTACATGGATACTCAAGATTCCCATATCATTTGTGGAAGTTGCCATCTGGGTTGCTATGACTTATTATGTCATTGGCTTTGATCCAAACATTCAAAGGTGACTGAAGCTGCCAACTTACCATTCCTTTGTTTGTGCTTTCTTTCTAACTGACCAGTGGGGAACCTTCTTGCTACAGGATGTTTAGGCATTATCTTCTACTATTATTGATTAACCAGATGGCTTCTGGACTATTCCGGGTAGTCGCCTCACTGGGGAGAGACATGGTTGTTTCAAGTACATTTGGATCCTTTGTGTTGCTTATAGTGCTAGCTCTTGGTGGATTTGTCCTTTCACGAGGTATAATTGGTCATCTTTGCCATTGACAAGTAGAGAGGTAGACATCTTTAAACTGGGATAAATTGCACAGAAATACTTGAACCTTCTTGTCTATCTTGCAGAGGATATAAAGAAATGGTGGATTTGGGGCTACTGGAGCTCACCTTTGACATATGCTCAGAATGCAGTTGCTGTTAATGAATTTCTTGGGCACAGTTGGAGCCATGTAAGCATCTCATTGTCAAATAAGAACAAAATCTCTTATATTCGAGAAGGTATACCACCTTGTTGATTTTGACTTGTGGCATAGGTTCTTCCCAATTCAAGTGAACCCTTGGGCATTCAAGTCTTGAAGTCTCGTGGAAATTTTACCAGTTCATCCTGGTTTTGGATCGGTGCAGGAGCATTGATTGGATATGTACTTTTGTTCAATGGAATTTTCACTCTAGCTCTGGCATACCTCAACCGTGAGTGGCCTCTGTTTCTATTGTCACACACGTTCAATTTTCAAAACATTTTTACTTCAAAATTCCTATGCTTAAGCTTGATAAGTTGTCAACAGCAATTGGGAAATCTCAAGTAGTTCTAACCGAAGAGGCCTTGAAAGAAAAGCACGCTAACAGAACTGGAGAAATTGGTGATGCTGAACCATCACCTAGGGGAAAGAGATCTTCTTCCCGATCAACAGAAAGAGGTAAATCTCATCTACCAGTTTTTCCATCATCATTATCTAAGCCTTGTCCCAATATCTACCAGTTTTCCCATTGTGTATCAAATTAGATGCTTATTTCCAGGTCTACAAATCAGAAAAAACAGTACCAAGTCAAGATCTTCTGGAATAGAAGCCAGTTTTGATGGTAGTCAGAACAAGAAAGGAATGGTTCTTCCTTTTGTTCCATTTTCTCTCACCTTTGATAATATTAGATACTCTGTAGACATGCCACAGGTAACCTCTTGTTACTAAAATGGAATATGAATTTCTGTGTCCAAAAAATTCATTCTTTGTACTCTTTGTAGTTCCGGAAAAGAAAATTAATAACTTATTAAACTGAATCTACAGGAAATGAAAGACCAAGGTGTTCTTGAAGATCGGTTAGTGCTTCTCAATGGTGTAAGTGGATCCTTCAGGCCAGGAGTCCTCACTGCTCTAATGGGTACCAGTGGTGCGGGTAAGACTACTCTAATGGATGTATTGGCAGGAAGGAAAACAGGCGGATATATAGAGGGAAGTATCACTATTTCCGGTTATCCAAAGAAGCAGGAAACATTTGCTCGTATTTCAGGATATTGTGAACAGAATGACATCCACTCTCCATATGTTACAGTGTACGAGTCTCTTCTCTATTCTGCCTGGCTTCGTTTACCTCCTGAAGTTGACTCTGCTACTAGGGAGGTTAGTTCTGCAGAACTTTCTTTTACAGGCTGTTTTAGGCAATTCAGGTTTCAAACTCACTGGTAAAAAGATAAATGTTTGCAGATGTTTGTCGATGAGGTCATGGAGCTTGTAGAGCTAACGTCACTTAGGGGATCACTAGTTGGATTGCCTGGTGTCAATGGTCTCTCAACTGAGCAACGCAAGAGGCTGACAATAGCAGTTGAGCTTGTTGCTAATCCCTCGATAATATTCATGGATGAGCCCACCTCTGGACTTGATGCCAGAGCAGCTGCAATTGTGATGAGAACGGTAAGGAACACTGTGGACACAGGAAGAACTGTGGTCTGCACCATCCACCAGCCTAGCATTGACATATTTGAATCTTTTGATGAGGTGAGTGATTGTTAAGATTAAGGAACTCAAATACTGGATATCTTTTTCTTCCAAATACAAGGTATTGAATTCTTTAATATGTGGTTACAGCTCTTCCTTATGAAGCGAGGAGGAGAAGAAATATATGTTGGGCCACTAGGGTGCCACTCATGTCATCTGATCAAATATTTTGAGGTGAGGCATTCTGATCTTTAGGATCATTCTTTCCTTCGTGGAGTAATGGTACAATTTTCCTCATTGGTTTGAATTTTATTTATGTTCAGGGTATCGATGGAGTTCCTAAGATAAAAGATGGTTATAACCCTGCAACATGGATGTTGGAGGTGACTACTGCGGCACAAGAAGAGATTCTGGGAATCAAATTTGCTGAACTTTACAAGAATTCAGATCTCTTCCAGTGGGTTGAATGATACATGCTCTCTTGCCAATGCTTAAAAGAACAAAACTTTGTCTCTTTCTTACCAATCTGTGAAAATCTTTTGTAGGAGAAACAAGGCTTTGATTGAAGAGCTTAGCAAGCCTCCTCCTGGTTCAAAAGATCTTCTTTTCCCGACTAAGTATTCCCAACCCTTCTTCACACAATGCAAAGCATGCCTCTGGAAGCAGCACATGTCCTACTGGAGGAATCCAGCATATACTGCAGTCCGACTTCTTTTTACCAGTTTCATTGCTTTGATGTTTGGTACAATGTTCTGGAGACTCGGGTCTAAAACGTAAGACCATTCCTATATCTGCAAATATTCCATTTGACACGGCCAAACAGGTGTTTTGCTAAACTTGAATGCATTAATATGATGGCATATTTTGCAGAACTAGGCGACAAGATCTGTTCAATGCAATGGGTTCCATGTATGCTGCAGTTCTCTTCATTGGTATTCAAAATGCTTCATCTGTGCAGCCAGTTGTGGCTGTAGAACGTACAGTGTTCTACAGAGAAAGGGCTGCTGGGATGTATTCTGCTTTACCATATGCATTTGCACAAGTAAGCACATCCTGTGGTAGCATGAACTGAAGTTTCAGGAGTCAATATAGTAAATCGACTCACTCTGAAAGAATTAATACATTAGAAGATTGTGTTTTATATTGGTCTCATGACACAACTTCCACCTTATGACACCATAACTGTGTTGCATTTTCAGGTTGTAATTGAGATTCCACATATCCTCATTCAGGCTCTAATCTACGGTGTGTTAGTTTATGCTATGATCGATTTTGATTGGACAGCTAAGAAGTTTTTCTGGTACCTGTTCTATATGTACTTCACATTCCTATACTTCACATATTATGGGATGATGGCAGTGGGTTTGACACCCAACCACGCCTTTGCCGCTATTGTTTCCTCTGCTTTCTACTCAATATGGAATCTCTTTGCCGGGTTCATCATTCCACGAACTGTAAGTTCCAATCCATATCCAATACTTCATGAGATTTTCTTTACTTGAGATACTGAAGAGGTTATTGCTTTCTTTTAATGTTTTTATCACAGAGAATTCCTGTATGGTGGAGATGGTACTACTGGTCTTGTCCAGTTGCATGGACCTTGTATGGACTAGTTGCTTCACAGTTTGGAGAGATCGAGACTGAAATGGACACTGGTGTTACGGTGAAGAACTTCTTGGAGAGTTACTTTGGGTTTAAAAATGATTCTCTGGGGTGGATTTCTGCAGGGATCATTGGCTTTACAGTACTCTTTGCATTTGTATTTGCCTTCTCAATTAAGGCACTTAACTTCCAAAGAAGATGAAGCTCTCAGTTCTCTAAATCACCCACCAGTGTGCATCAATGGCAGCATATGTAGCGCAAAGATCTAGAGTATGCATGTAGTAGGGCTCATGCTCATATGTCCGTCACTAACAGTCGGTGACCATGTCATGACTGGATGTATGTGCCTTTCCCTTCCTGGGTTTCCGTGTGGAGGATTTTGAATCTTTTGCTGTGTCAAACTAGATTATATTATAAATGGCGTCAAGTTATCTGTAGTCTGTTAGTCAAATAATCATGTTAATATCGAAACCATTATCATTATAGTTACTGCTATCTTGGTGAACACACAATCAATGTACAACACCTGTCCCACAGTTGGGACTTTTTTTTTTCGCTACTAAAATGAGAATTAATTCATAAAAGCAGAACTAATGCAAGTATGTCCTTGAAAAATACAAGCATTCCGTTCCATCCATAAGAAGTAGAGCACAAATATGAATACCTGCATCTGCAACAATTGAAGCTCTCACTAAATTTTTTTAAATTAATGGAATCAAGTAAACCCATAAACCAAGACCTCAGGGAATTAAATTGACTTCACAAAAAATCTCTCATTTCTTTCCCTAACCCACATCCAGCTATCTTCCTATACATGTGCCCAAGATAATCCAGTCCGCAAAATGGTGTCTTGAATCTCTTGTGTCACAAGTATTTATTTTTTTACAACTGGGCCCAAATTGATCCCTCCCCTGTTAAGATCCTCCATCCAACCTCTTGCATAACAGTGCATCATTGACATACTTTAATCTCCGAATACCCAAACCTCCAGCATGCCAAGATAGACAGTGCCAACACAGAAATGAATCCAAAAACATCACATCAACTCCTCATGTGCCCATGCTTCATTAGGGTCACAAAGGGAGTGCTGCGACCATGGTCATGGTCCCAGCAGATGTAAACTTAGTCCAAGTAACACTCCCTAACAGCTAACTCTGTGTTTGGTTAAAGGTAGAGAAGGCAATACAAGCCTAAATGTAACACCACCCATGTAAGGCCACTTGGGATATACTGTTGGCACAGTTATGTAATCAATCATGAGTGGACATGTCACTGTTCTGTATGCATGAAACCCATATGTCAGAGACAAATATCGAGAGTTCAGATAATTAACACGTTTTAAAGTTCGAGTATTCAACTGAGATTAGCCCAAACCCGCAGCTTAACTTTAATGGCTTGTGGATTAAAAGCCCATATGCCTGGCTTGACCCACTTAAAAGAGGGCTCAAGACAAATATCAAGCCAGTACTGGTAGGCAGCTCAAAAGATTCTCTTACTTAAAATCCAGAACGGCTCGGCCCAAAATCTTCCTTAGCAATTGGCAGGCCCAAGACATGATTCCGCGCGTGTGGATAATAATATTGTCAAACACCATAGGAATAGAATCTTGCTATCAATATGACGAAAATGCCCTTCCTGGTTTGTGTGACAATAATGACACGCCCATATCCTCCTCTCTAGTTCTTCCTGCATGGCTTCTCTTCCTCTTCCAACCACACCAAATCCACATTTCTCTCGCTCTAGATATACCCAAACCAGGAAATCGATAAATGTCACAACAACCCATCTCCCCAATTTCCAGAATAATGAGCAAAGATTTCCAATTTCCTACAAATCTTACTTCCACCACATATCTTCTCTCTGCAAAGAAGGTCAACTTCCTGAAGCTTTGGCAATTCTTACTGAAATGGAACTTGAAGGTTTCCAAATTGGACCGGAAATTTATGGAGAACTCCTTCAAGGCTGCGTGTATGAGCGAGCTCTGTTCACAGGTCAGCAAATTCACGCTCGAATCCTTAAGAATGGTGATTTCTTCTCCAGCAATGAGTACATTGAAACCAAGTTGGTGATTTTCTATGCAAAATGTGATCTTCCAGAAGTTGCTACTGAATTGTTTCAAAGGCTTCGCAAACAAAACGTTTTTTCTTGGGCTGCCATGATTGGGTTGTATTGTAGGATAGGCTGTAATGAAGAAGCTTTGCTGGGCGTCTGTGAAATGCATGAAAATGGATATTTTCCAGATAATTATGTTGTGCCAAATGCTCTGAAAGCTTGTTCTGCTCTGCAGTTGGTTAAGTTTGGAAAAGGGGTTCACGGTTATGTTATAAAGATGGGTTTTGATTGCTGCGTCTTTGTTGCGAGCAGTCTAGTAGATATGTATGGAAAATGCGGGGTCTTGGAAGACGCAAGGAAGGTCTTCAATTTAATGCCTGAGAGGAACGTCGTTGCTTGGAATTCAATGATCGTAGGTTATGTACAAAATGGGCTGAATGAGGAAACAATGGAGGTCTTTTATAATATGCGAGTGGAAGGCATTGAACCAACTAGAGTCACCATTGCTAGCTTCCTTTCGGCAGCAGCAAATTTAGATGCTATTGAAGAGGGTAGACAAGTCCATGCTATTGCAGTTTTGAGCGGATTAGAGTTAGATAACATTTTGGGTACTTCTTTCATAAACTTCTATGCAAAAGTTGGTAAGATTGAAGATGCCGAGCTTATTTTCAGTAGGATGAATGAGAGAGATGTGGTAACTTGGAATTTGCTTATTTCGAGCTATGTGCAAGATGGGCAGGTAGAAACCGCCCTTGATATCTGCCACCAAATGAGATCAGAAAATCTTCGATTTGACTCAGTTACTTTAGCATCTATTTTGTCTGCTTTTGCTGATTCTAGCAATATAAAGCTTGGTAAAGTGGGGCACTGTTATTGTATTAAAAACAATTTTGTTTCTGATGTGGTTGTTTCTAGTAGCATCATAAATATGTATGCAAAGTGTGGGAAGATTGAATATGCCAGACGGGTTTTCAACACCTCAATGCAGAGTGATCTTGTGCTCTGGAATACCCTAATTGCTGCTTATGCAGAGTTAGGTCTAAGTGGCGAGGCCTTGAAATTGTTTTATCAGATGCAACTAGAGGGTGTCCCCCCAAATTTGATATCATGGAATTCTGTGATTTTGGGATTTCTGAAAAATAGCCAGGTTAATGAGGCCAGAGACTTGTTCTTGCAGATGCAGTCTGCTGGTGTCCAACCCAACTTGATCACTTGGACCACTCTTATCAATGGTTTAGCCCAAAATGGATATGGGTACGAGGCTATCCTACTTTTCCAGAAAATGCAAGCAGCTGGCATCCAACCCAATGTTGTCAGCATTGTCTGTGTGCTCTCAGCTTGCACAACTATAGCATCTTTACTCTATGGAAGAACCATTCACGGTTATGTCATGAGGCATGAGATTTCAACATCTCCTTCAATTGTAACTTCCCTAGTAGACATGTATGCTAAATGTGGAAGTATAGATCTAGCTAAGAAGGTGTTTGATTCAATTTTGAACAAGGAGCTGCCTTGCTATAATGCAATGATACTTGGACATGCACTACATGGTCAACCAGCAGGAGCTTTTGCATTCTTTGAAGAGATGAAGAAAGAAAAGATACAACCAGATGGTATCACTTTCACTGGTCTCCTATCAGCATGTAGCCATGCTGGCTTAGTGGATAAAGGTTTTGAGGTATTTACTGAAATGTTCTCAAAATACCATGTGATGCCAAGTAAGGAGCATTATGGTTGTTTGGTTACTCTCCTTTCTCGGTGTGGAAGTCTGGAAGGAGCTCTTAGGTTCATCCTCACAATGCCAATTGAACCTGATGCGCACATATTAGGATCACTTCTTGCTGCTTGTAGAGAACACAATGAGACTGATCTGGGAAAATATTTGTCTGAACACCTTTTCAAATTAGAACCAGATAATTCGGGGAATTATATAGCAGTTTCAAACATATATGCTTCAACAGGAAAGTGGGATGAGGTATCACAATTGAGGGATTTGATGAAGCAGAAAGGACTAAGAAAGGATCCTGGGTGCAGCTGGATTCAAATTGGAGAAGAACTCCATGTGTTTGTTGCAGGTGATGGATCACACCCGCAAACTGAGGTAATTTACCACATGTTGTCTGGATTGGAGAGGGAAATGAGATTTATGGGATATGTAACCGCGGATGGTAATATCAAATATCCTGCTTCTAAAAGCATAACCTGATTACTTTTATTGGATATATTGAGAGCTCCCTGTTGAGATATTAACCGAGATGTAACTTACTGCCATAGAATGAGTCTAATTCAGTTGATGGTCTTGTCTGCATGGAGAAAAACCGATGTAGGGCCAACAAGAAGCTCATGAAGTATCCACAAAGTTTTGTTGATGTGGATATGATGCACATTGCTGCCCTTTCACATCTAAAAGACATTGAAACTACACGAGTGCATAGTGATCAGTAGGGAACAGTGTTAGATATCTAACCAAACTCCAAAGAAGAACAGAAGCAAGTTTTGGCATTGGGATTTCGTTAGTCAAGATGGGTCAATTATCACATCTTGGAGATTAGTGCCACTATGAAACATAGCCACCAAGAACAGATACATTTTGAATTATGACATAACTCCATTTGGGTTGGAAAATCTCTGCTCAAACTTTTCTTGAGAAATGGATTGCACTAAACTACAGTTGAGTACTTGGTGAGATAACATTTTCAGTGATTGTCATTGTTGCTTTACATGACCACTGAACCCAGATTTGGGTCTCAGATATGGGAGGCATCCATTTTTATTATTTATGTAATTGGCATAGAAGGAAATACATATACTAACCTAGCTTCATTGCTTTTTGAGTAGATTCTTTTCCTGTTGCTGTAATGGTAAAACATGGGTTGAGTCTAGAGTGGTTACTTTGTGCAAAAAAATGCCAAAGGTTAGGTCCATATCCAGTCAACCCTTCCCAAGACCCTGCATGGCCGGAACCAAGGGTAATGGCCTTTTTTTGTCGGTATTTGTAACAATTAATTTTCTGAATTTATCAAGCAAGTTTTTTGCTTCCTAATGTCCATATAGTTCTCACTAACATCAAGACTACAGAAACCTCATGGCAGATTCTCCTCATCATTTTTTCATCTTGGAGAAAACTCTCTCCTTGACAATGTATAGAGGAATCCCTGTCCGCCCTTTCAATAACCTTTTCGCACTTGAACCCTACCCACAATCCAACACAAAACTTTCCACTGTACCCCTTTCCAAAGTGAATTTATATCTTATACTGTTTATTGGTGCAAAGTGTATCATTTGCCACAATGCTGCCATTTACTCTCCCACCTGGAATCAAGCTCCAACTGCTGTGCCAGGTAAGTTTAATACATATTGGGCAATAAACTTACCTAGCACAATTTCCTTTATGATGTTCTGCATGCCTCTTATGAAATTCTTGGTTGCTTTGACTACGAGAAAAAGATGGTTACTGTGATTGACTCTTCCGAACACAGATTAATCATTCATTAGAACACCTTGTTGAGAAAAAGATGCCTCTTAGTTGTTTACTGGGAAGTTGAGTATCCTTGTTAAGCTTTTATCTGTGACAAGTGGCAACCATTCATTAGAACACCTTGTCCATTCAAAGCAACTGGTTATTGATCAGTTTTTTGTAGTAGAAATGATGTTATCAGGTTTAATAGAAGTGATCATCCCATAACATGCTCCTCCTAATGAGAAATTAAAAATCCTTATTTTCTTTTATTACATCAGGTAACTAGCAATCAAGGTCGAAAAGTACTTTATTAGCCAGAGTTTTTTTTTTCTTTTTCTTTTTCTTTTGAGTAACAAGGAAAAACTCAGCCACTGGATGGCCCTGGTATTGGGGTGATAAAATAAATTCCATATAGAACATGTAACGGGAAAGCCTAGGTTTGGGGGGGTACTAAGCCTGATTTTTTTTTTCTTTTTGGATGAAAATATGTTTTGGACCTTCATAAATCATAAATCGAAATTGGCCTTTGTTCAGCCTGCTACTGGATGGTCTCCAAGATCAGAATGATCAGAGCCTGATATATGCTTGATATAGGATCTATAACAGAACTTTATTATCCATTTTCCGAACAAATTCAGCAAAAACACCTAGTAATCTGATAGGTGGGTTCCAGTGTTCCACTGAAAGATGGAGTTTGATGTGATAATCTTAAAATGTGACATGTGATTAGTTATGGGGGACTCGGAACCAGTCATGTTCTGTAGCCTGATTGCCAAGTTGATGTGCAAGCGTCTCTTTTGGTGGCCCTTCTTTTGTAGACATATGTGTATTCAGTAAACCTTCCAAAAGAAACACTTCAAGCTATCCTATTAAACAAGTATATATAAACTTGGCCTACCAAAAAGAATAAATTTATGTATAGGCATCCTAGCATACACGAGTTTTATTTCATCTTAATACTTGAAAACCATGGATTTGTTTGAACTATATATTGGTACTTGATCATGCTTGGCTTTCTCATGCATTGTTTCTCCCTATAATTTTCTCAGAAGTGTAAGAATATCATGATTTACAATTGTATCTTCCTTCTTTTTGTCTATGATTACTTGGACTGCAGTCCACATCTCTTTGGTTGTAATGCTTTGTTCTGGGTCATCATCACTGTCTTCTCTTTCACTATCTTTTCCATCTACCATTACAAGAAACTTCTTGGCCATCTAGAATCCTACCAAAAAAAACAAAGTAAAGATGATGGGGAGTAAGAAGGAATACATACTGTGCCAGCATAGCCAAACAAAGGGCTTTATGCAAACTTAGAGATCCATAGAAATCTCTTATTTTCTCTTTAATCTTCAATAAATTATTCTTGGTCCTGTTTGAACTCTCATACATCCTTCTTCTCCACAATTTTCTTAGACTTGCAATATTTTATATTTTTCTTTTCTATTTTTCTATGTCTATGACTTTATAAACTACTGTTAGTGTCTCTTTAGTTTGGTTGTTATCAATGGTTGTCCATTCTCATTAGTCTTCTTTTTGATAATTGAAGTCTTCATTTATGAATATTTCTCCACTTATCTGATTAAAATGCATATGGTACTTCTGGTAGCATTTGTAATCCACATCCTTGTTGGGATGCACGTGAACGTAAAGTCCCGCGTTGAAAAGAAATAAGAATTCAAAGGATTTATATACAAGGAACGGCCTACAACCTAATGGGTTAAGTTTTTGGATTAAAGGTAGTATGCAACTTTGCTGTATGTGTCCTACACTTGTGTGCGTCTAATGGATGATCATCACTATGCTTACACAATAAACATTAATTATATCATATAATTTGCTCCCAAAAACCTTTTGATCACCTTATTTCTATTTCTTTTCTGATTGTTTTGGTGCAAGAAGTATAAGGCGGAAAAGAAGTAATTCATTGAATATTTGCTCAAGGCGCATCATTTTCGTGTCGGTGTCGGGATCTTCTCATTTAGAAGCTTGTACTTGATATAATTCAGTAGGTATCTGTCTAAACCCACCATCAACCCCAAAGAGGAGACAGAATCATAGAAATAAATGATTATTAAGTTGAAAAGAGAGAGAGAGAACTTTAATTGATAGAGATGTGAAGTTCTCTGGAATTACAAAAAAAGAGGGTTCTTCACCAAATTTGATCAAACATCACAAAGTTACAACATATTGCGCTTTGAGACTATTTTATATTTGAAGGGTTCTTTTAACCTTCAAAATGAAGTAACCAAGCTTCACTCATTTTGGTTCCATGAGGGGTTGAGGAGAATAGGTTAAATTGGAGATCAGATTATCATCTCTCCATGATAAGTACGAGAGATATTCCTAATGCGTGTTGAGATGTGCATGTGAATTTCTCCATAACAAGCATGAGAGATGTTCTCAATACACGCATGTGCCAATCTGATATCATTAAATTGAGCTATAAAATATCATGCCAAATATACTAGAATGAGAGAAAAAAATGCTCTTGTATGTGTGCGTGTGTACTAATAATTGAATACTTGTGATTGGGGGGCCGGTAAAATAATCCATGGAACCTGCCAAAGTAGGCCATTCCTGCTTTCGCCTTATCCCATGCATGGAACCTGTCAAAGTAGCATCCAAATCAATCACTTAAAATTTCAACTTTTTTCTTTCTTCTCCTTTCAGTGTCCCCACTTGCTAACTCAATCTGGATTATGAGGAATTAATGTCAGATGGTCAAGAAGTTTCAGACCATCAATGAATCAATAGGTCAACTGATCAAGTGTTTGAGTTCATCCATACGTAAATTTCTAAATTCTAAACACCTTTCTTTCCTTTTTCATTATTTTTCAACCTAAAGTAAGGAACCCAGAAAAAGATCCTTTCATTAAAGGAAAAATAAAGCTGTGGATCGTCCGGAGTCCCTACTCCCTAGGAAGAACATGGGATTACAGTAGATGGGTTTAAGCTTATAGGACCCACGTTTAGATAAACGACGAGTACTAGCTAGACAGAACAAACCAGTATTTGGGGTTAACTTATTAACTATTCACTCTTGTGATCCAACTGGGAAATGAGTATGAGCTACCGAACAAACCAGTATTTGACTAAAACATAACAAGCTAAAATTCGGCATTGAGATTGTTCCTTCTATCATGCTTGAGCACTGTGGACGGAAGTACTTGTAGACAGAATGGGTGTGTGTAGGTTGAATGAGACTAACCATGGTCCATGGAGAAGAGAATATAGGATTGTGGCCTCAGTACAAATAAATGTGAAAGAAGTCAAGTGAGGACAAACACAGTTACTGCTTTGCCCATCCTCCATCTCTTCCTAAATTATTTATTGAGTTTTCAGCTTCTTATATTTGTCATTAATTAAGAGGAAAAAGGGTTGGTGTTGTCAATGGAAGGATGATGATCCCTTTCCCAATTCAATTCAACCAGTTGAACATTTTTTTTAATCAGGCTGATCTCTTACCCATGGTGGTTGTAGGATTTAAAGTCAATGGAGTTGAAAAAATATATCAAAATTCAATTTGAATATTATCCAAAATCCTTCTGATTCCAGAATCCCTTTACAGCTATATTGTACATTGCCAATACCACCTAACCCCTATAATTGGACCGGGGGGGAATTAATTGGGCTATGAGTCATGATTCAATGAAGGTGGTCTCTGAGGACAGAGGTTAATTCATAAATATCAGATTTGGGATTCATTTAACAGCCATGGCAGAACTTGAATTTGGGGAATTAATGGCCACGATTAAGTTAACCAATAATCATCCCTTCCTATGAGCTGTCTAATCATGTTTGATCATTATTAAAAAGAACATCTTCCTATAGCTAATACTGGATGAATTGATCAACGAATTGGCTGATCTTAACTACAAGAGATCAGCTGGCCTGCGTTAGTGAGGGCTGAAACTTTGGTTGAGCTGCTTTGAAAAATCCGCTAAGGCCCCATTAGGGACCGTTTCTACAGTTGGGGTGAGTTGTATTACTGAGCTGCTTTGATTGAGCAACTGTGTTAGCTCTGTGTTACAATCACAGATTTAATATTTGGAACGCCGATGTTGGCATTTTAGGCATCTGTTTGGCATCGTTGCCGTTGCTCCTGAAAAATGGTGTTACATCAGAAAAATGGTGCTTCAGGAAACAGGCGTTTGTTTGAAATTATTTTTTTCATAAAAATGGTGCTTAAAGTCACGCTTTAGAAATCGGGAAGGCATGGCTTGGAGCAACGTCGAATTTGACATTTCCTAGAGCTATAGCTCATTGCTGCCAACAGAGATGTGAGGTGGCAGTGATATGGCACTGAATAATGGGTACCAGTGGTGAAAGCGTTTTCTAAAACATTGGTACCAAACAGAAAAAAGCTGATATTGCTC